GGGACGAGGCAACAGAAGAATATTATCTCCATCTGTTCTGTGTTGAACAGCCCGATGCAAATTGGGAGAATGCCGAGACTCGCCAGGCAGTTTACGAGGAGGCAATGGAATTCTGGCTGAAGAAGGGTGTGGATGGTTTCCGTGTTGATACGGTCAACATGTACAGCAAGCACCCTGAGTATCCCAATGCTCCAATCCTTGATCCAAAATCCGACACCCAACCGGCTTTCTCGCTGTTCTGCAACGGTCCTCGTATTCACGAGTACATGCGCGAGATGAACGAGGTGCTTTCCAAGTATGATGCAGTGACTGTAGGTGAACTACCAAACACACATACCGTGGAGGGTGTTCTGCGCTATGTTTCAGCGGCAGAGAAGCAGCTGAGCATGGTCTTCCAATTCGATCTCGTGAACCTCGGCCATGGCAAGGACTATAAGTTTCTGACCACTTTGCCGGGCTGGAACCTACGAGAACTGAAAACTGCCGTGCAGAGTACACAAGATATCATCAAGGGCACCGATGCATGGACCACAGTATTCATGGAAAACCACGACCAGGGCCGCTCCGTGAGTCGTTTCGGCTCCGACAAGACACCGGAGTTGAGAGTTCGGTCTGCTAAGATGCTTGCCATGATGCAAGGCACCCTTTCCGGCACGCAGTTTATCTACCAGGGCCAGGAGATTGGAATGGTTAATGCGCCCCGGGAGTGGACGATTGACGATTACAAAGACATCGATAGCACCAACTACTATCGAATGACAAGCAAATTGTCTGGCGACGACCCAACCGCGTTGAGCGCGGCCATGGACTCGCTACAGCATTTGGCGAGAGATCACTCCCGACTTCCGATGCAGTGGAGTGCGGAGGTCAACGCGGGCTTTTCGCCGGCCTCAGCAAAGCCGTGGATGCGCCCGAATGACAATTATCCCATGATCAATGTGGAATTCCAGGAGAAGGATCCCTCTTCTGTTCTCTCCTTCTGGAAACAAATGAAGGTGCTGCGCAAGGAGTATGCAGATCTTCTGGTCTTTGGAGAGTTTGAGATCATCGATGAGCCAAATCAGAATGTCTTCACCTATACCAAGACAGCCCACAGCCAGACTATTTTGGTGGTTCTCAACTTCTCGAATACAACACAAAAGTTCGAAAGGCCAGATTCTGTGAGGAGCGAAGATTGGAAATTGTTGGCTAGCAATGTAGATGGGCACAAGGAGGACTTGGAGGCGTTTGAGGGAAGAGTGTTTTTGGTTTAGAGCTGGGATCTCATGCCGGTGTGATAGGGCACACTTAAATTGGGTTAAACTAGAATCAAATATCCTTCTCGAACAATTCGATTCCGATCTTATATCCAATCTTCTATGTAAACTCTATGACCTCGGGACATACCTGATCTTAAAGCCGCGCCAGTTCCACACCGGATCGTCCCGGATTCACACCTCAGCCTTGTCAAGCGTTTCATATGTACATCTTAGGCCTACATAGGTAAGTTGGACATGTTCATCTCTCATCCCAACAACGAGAGAGTCTCGGTTACTACGACCTGGGCTTCTTCCACCTCCGTGAAGCAATCAGCATGATCCAGATGCTGCGCATCAGCGACAAAACCGTCAACGCACGTCTTAGCACGGCCGAGCGAGCCCGACGCCAACGCTTGTACTGTGAGTGCTTGATTTCCTGGAGCTCGTTCTGAGTCCTTGGGCCGAGCCGGGCCATATGCTATTGATTATCCCGATTTTTGAGGAAATTCGACTGTCTCCAAAAGTACCTAGGTAGGGTAGTCGGTACACGAGTGGGTCTGGGGATCTCACCAAGTGGAGATCTGTGGAGAGATTGATTCCTACAACAGTCTCTACTTGTGGGATTCGCCCGCCTCCACCCGGATGTTTAACTCAAGAATAACGTAGTAGATAATGCAGAGTTTTATACAGACTCGAAGAAATTTGGTCGCTGAACGATAGGGCTCCCAACTCTCAATTTAGCAGATAGCAGGGCCCTCGAACACCACTTAGCCTCTGATCTGGCTGGCATACACAACTATGCATTAGTAAATTTAGGAAATTGTGCAATATTGAAGAGGGCAATCTAAGGAAGTCGACCAGTTCGAATGATACAAAGGTACAGATTCAATACTAGAGGCTGATATTTATCAGAGAACACTAGGCAGATCCCTTCGCCGCAGGAGAAAGTGGGCGAGTCCCACAGGTATAGACTGTTGTACGGGAGCGAAGTGGACGGGGAAAAGAGAGGGAGACCGAGAAAAATAGCACCTAACTACTACTTTCAAGCAAATAAGTGCCATCACATATATGTTCCACGTAGGAACATATCTTCCTAAGCAACCCAACGAGGATGAATCGATCACATTGCAAGCGCTCTGGTAACCCTGTTGGCAATAGTTATTCCTATTATCAACCCAGCAAATTTTGACATATCCCTATAGAACTACATCCTTGGTGAAGAAATAACCGTGGAGCTCACCCAGAATGCGTTTAAGAGAATACTTGGGATGGATGTGCAATAGGAAAATAGAGACAAAAGATATGCCGAGGATGTATAATGAACCAACGGCTGGTTCCCAACCGAAGTAGCATACGAAGAAACGTCCATGGTCAAATCGATATGAACAAATTAGCCCTTGGGAGGGGTGGCGATCGAAAATTACCGGACAGCAGCGATTGGTCTAAGATAGAGGCAGTGGAGGTGGTGATAATGTTGTACGTGATAGTCCACGGGTGTATTAGGTCGAACCCAAAAAGGCAACTCAGAGGTCCTCAGTTTACATACACAAATTCATTCCTCTAGCCCGTTTACAACGCAGATGTCACGTTGGAGAACTCGCCCTTCTGGAGCTTCGTATCCCAGAAGATAGGGTTCATGTCATCAAATCCGTGGTGCACCCATCCCTCTTCCTTGACGTGGTATAGGTTAATGAAACCACCGGAGTAGGCATCACGGTGCATGGCAGCCAGAATGGCTCGGCGGCCAAGGTTCAATGCCTCCTCCTCAGTCAGCTCGTATTTGTACTCGGCGTCCAGCACACCGTAAGCGAAAGTCTGACCTGATCCAACACAGAACAGGTTACCGGGGAGACGGGTGCCGTCGGAGTCGATGTAGTACAGGGCGGGTCCTTCTTGGGGCGTCATCTAGAGATCACTGTCAGTTTCCGAATCTCACGGCTAGGAGTGATGTATGGGACATACTCCTGCTAACATAGTTCCCATGCTAAGTCCGTATCCCTTGTAGGCGTAAGTGAGGTTGGCAAGAATCTTGGACGCGGCCGCAACAGTGATACGGCGCTTGTGTCGGATTTCTAGATAGAATTCATGAGCAGTGTCCTTCCCCCGCTTGCTAACATTAAAAATCAAGCTGACTTACCATGCAAAGTGCACTGCTGACTCAAATACCGCAACCAATATTGGCAGTCCTAGCAATTCGCAAGATCTATCAGCAACCAACGTCCAGCACACCATGACTCGTGATCACCACTTGTGGTTTATACTTACAGCTGCACCACCGGCCATCGTTCCCAGGAGACCTGGCGTCGGCTGGTTCGACTTCTTGTCCTCGCCCCGACTCAACCGTGAAACGGGGATAACCTTCTTGACTGTCTGACTGGCAATCCAGTTGCCGGCTGTTGCTCGCGAATCGGTACACACGATCTAACTCATTAGATCAGTTAGCCTAACATGCTCCAGAATCAAGAAAAGCCTGGTATAACTAAAATGTAGGGAGACGTACGATACCGCCCTGGAATCGGAAGGCCAGGGTTGTTGTGCCGTGTGCGAGCTTGATAGGACAGCTGGGATTGGAGTGGTCATCGGTCATGGCACGCAGGAAAGCAGAGCGCTAGATACAAGAACCCAGCGTCAGTCGAATATTTCATTCTAATTCAATCATATATTGGTATTGGCGAGCGATTCTCTTGGCCATAGCTGCGACGACGGCGCAGCTTGGGTTGACATCAGGATAGACGTACATCCCCCGAACAAACTACCATCCGGATGAAAGAGAATATGCCCTAGTTTAATATGCCCTAGTTTCGACCAAGAACTCACGTTGTCAACAGGAGGAAGGCTGAACTTCAGCGAGAGCGGAGGGACGCTCGCAGTGAGGTCCTGCTGCTCTTGCTCTGAGTACATCTCATTCTGATGGGGGGGGGCGCGAGTATTGGGCCACAAGCTTATCCATTGTGTGCCGAAGTAAGATAAATAAGGAGAAAAATTAGAAAAAAAGGAGCCGGAAAGATGTGAAAGGATTCTGGTGAGACAGTCGAGTGATGGTTGTAGCTCCGCTGGAGCTCGGGGTTTCCGCGTCACTCTGGCGCCTGTGGTCACGTGAATGCTCTACTCCATACTACATATCATGAAAAGAAGTCTTCTTTTGATATCCTTTTTTAGGAGAAATTGGAAGACTAAGAACCTATACAAACGACGAATTAATGAATTAAAGAATTAGCGAGTTAAACTTTACAACACAGTTTCCATATTTCCTGAGTATAGACCCCCCAATGTTCAGTGCCAGCCAACGCCTTCCCCGAAAACACCTCCCAACGTTTGGTGCCCAATCTGAAGCGAAGAACCGAATTTACACAACAGCCGAAGTATTTCCGCGTCGAACCAAAAAGGAAGCTACTAGAACTCTGAGAAGGATTGGAACGATCACGCAGGTGCAGGCTCAACCACCATCTTCGCGGGCAGCGCGCCGCTTCCCACTGGTTCGGTGAACCCCTCGGTCACAGAGGCATTCTCAAGAACATCCGACTGGCGCTCCGACACATCATCGAGTTCATTAACACCGGCACCGGTGGTACCATTGACACTGTGGGCATGAACCGGAGACTCCCGGCCGGTGGCAGTAGTGATAGGCTCGACGCTGGGTTCCCATCTACGCAGATCATTCTCGGCATCCTCAAGAATCTGGCGTGCCAAGGGCTCGTGATCATACGCCCGGCGTGCATCACCAGGAACAACAGGAGTGTCATCAATGTAGTTAAGCAGGCGGCGAGCATGGCGAGCCAGAATGGTCTGCTTCTCGGCGCGCTCAATAACGGCCGCCAGATGGACATCATATGCTTCCTTCAGCTTTTGGCGAGTCTACAGATGAGATGAAAGTTAGCCACGTCATAACTGACCTCACACGCCACACAAGAACAGAAAGAAGTAAGAATTGAACGCACGATGTTAGACAGCTGCGCCTCGGCAACCAAGTTCTGAGCCTCAGCTCGGACAAGCTCGTGCTCCAGCGTGACCAGACGCTGGCTAGAAGGATCCTTGTACTTGAGCTTGGCAATCTCGTCAGTGACCTTCTGACGCTGCTCACGTGAAGGCTGCACCGAGGCCTCCATGTTGCGAATCTGCTTCAGGATACCCCGGTAGTCCTCGAGGTTCTGTGCGAAGTTGTCTTCCTGCTCGCCAATCTCAGCAAGCAGAACACCGAGCTTATCGGAGATGTCGGAAACATTGTCATCTTCAGTCCCCTCGCCCCATTCAGAGAGCTGGGCGGCGATCGAGGTGCGCTCCCGACCGGCAGCTTCGTGGGCACCAATGGCGGAGTTCTCGCTCTTGATCAGCTTGGTCATCTTGCGGCTGAGCTCTGGCGCTTGCATCCCACGGAGGGTCGAGATGTTGAACCGCTGCCGGCTAGGAGGCTCTTTGCGCGAGCGGAATGAAAGGTTGCGGTTCCTAGACTTTGTTTTAGCCAAAGTATGGACTGAGAACTTAGAAGACATACATCTTGTTTCTTGTATGTAGATATAGTCAATCCAATACAAGTTATAGGGTTATTAGGGTAGGGGGATGTGTTAAGATGAGAAACCGAAAAATTAGAATCTGGGGGAGGTTAAAGATAAGTCGGCAGCGCCTTCCTATAGATGACGATGGTGACGAACCCTATTCTCCCCAGGGCTTCTCTTTTCTTTGCCAGAGGAAGTGCAGTCCCGGTGGCTGACGTCATGAACGGGGATGGGCGGATGTCGAGTCGAGCAGTTCATGCACGCACCTTTCCGATTGCGGATCTTTCAAGCTAAATGCCGTGGGATATCGTAAGTGGTGATGGTTCTTAAAGTCTGAGTGATGTATAAAGAAGGGATCTAAGGCTGATCGTCAATATCCACCCTCAGCTTTCCAATGTCAGATTACTAGCAGTTTGCAGCAGCGCTAGAGACTATCATTTAGCATGCACTTTCATACATACGTGGATATACAACATCATGGATCGAAAAGGGTTGTTTGCAGGTTGTGACGATGCGTGGACTGTGCGCGGACTCAACTGCTACCTTCCTAATTGGGACGAACTCTCCTTCGATCAAATCTACGTGAGAAAGATGATGAAAATAAGGGATTAAATTCATGGGAGATCCCGGTCTCTATCCTCTCAATTCGAGGCAACAAAAAAAAAAAATTACGCAGGGCCAGAGGAAGTAGAGAATACCTCCCGGGCCAATCTTATGGTACACAACCAGCTAAAGCATCCTGCATAACCCCCGAATAGCAAGCCGCAACGCCCGAAAAAGACCAGAATGACTGATCCGCAGAACCATTCGTTAAAAAAAAACCCCCCCTTTCAGATGAAATAAAGCTCAAGGACTAGGAAATGTCGTCCGCATCGGGGTTGTGAGAGTGTTCGTTGTCAGATGCATGGAATGCGTCGCCAAATGCTGAGTTCTCCAGGTCTGGCAAGTCGAGCCCATCGTTCTGCTCGCTATAAGCCGCCAAGGCATCTCCAGCACTATCGATGTTGGTAAAGTCGAAGTCTCCTCCGACTGGGCCATGGTCCTTGCTCTCATTGTTCACCAATACCCAGTCGTTGGCCTGGCCATTGGCACCACCGTGGAGCTGGTCGTCCAAATCCATGTCAACATCCCCGGACATATCAGCGCCGTGAATCGGTTGTCCATTGATAGAAACACCTGAGACTGCGCCCACACCAACGCCAGGGCTGCCAAATTGATTGAGCAGGTGGGAATCATCCATGACCATATCATTGGTAAATGACTCAGGCTCATCCTTGTGCTCGGGTTCAATCTTCTCCAATAAGCCACCCTTCTCCACACAAGATACCTTTGGTTCGGCAACGATTTGCTTTTTCCAAGCAGTCTCAACGTCCCGGACTACCTCATCAACCCTGTATTTGGCCTTGTCTTCAATGTAATCCAACTGAGGGGTTTCATCCTCTGTTGGGATGACTACTCGGCCTTCCAATCTCCAAACCTCTGGGCCCTTTTCGGTCGGGTCAGCAGCAGATTCTCGGAGGCGCAACTCGGCATCCTTAAGCAATGAAGTTCGATTGAAACGTTGCATCCGGCGAGCATGCTGTTTCTTCAAGTTTTCGATCTCGGCGGTCATGTCCGCTACCTTCTTAGAAACCCGCTTTGCAAACTCCTCTGCCTTAGCTGGCTCCATTTTGCTAGCCTGCGGGGCGTCACCCGCCTCCTGGCCTTCTCCGCCAGAAGTTCCAACAGGAGCATCGAAGAAGCCTGCAGTCAGGGACTCGAGTTCTCCCTTTCGGCCCAGACCTAAAGAAACTGGTGTGATTTGTGAGATACTGTAGGGCGATGCGAAGATCTCCTCCATCCACTCGTGATGCTGCTGGTATCGCATCTTGCTGATATCGCGGGGCGTCAAAAGATCCATAGCGTCACCACTGGAGACATCCTCATCTTCAATAGCAAAATCAGCGGTTGCGGAAGTGATGGCAGCTGACGGCGCACGGTTTCCGCGTGGGCCTTTAGCTACAGGTGCATTGGGCGCAACTGCGCCTGGATGACCCTGGGGGGCGTAGAAACCAGGTCCACGAGGCGCAGCAGCCGGGTAAGCACCGGGTTGCCCGAAGTTCTGTGTAGTCATTGGCGGGAAGTTGATAACTGGCCAACTGTTGCGATCGTGAAGCAAAAAGTCCTTGCGGGCCAATTGTCCTTGGCTCTGAAGGAAGCGGCGCTGGCCCATCAGGCTCTGGATTTGCGGTGTTACTTGGATTCGGTTTGCAGGGGCGTGGTCCTGAGGCGCGGCACGGGTGTAGTGCACAATCCACAGCGATGGATCGGGCTGGGGGGCATTCGGTACTTTGGACGAGGTAATGCGGTAGCGCTTGCGGCAGTGTGTTGCCACGGGCTCATTGGGAGGGTGAAACCCACTTCGTTGGAGGTACATCTCGACGGTCTGTGTCCTCTAATATTAGAATGTAACTCAAATGAAGCAAGGGAAGCTTCATTGCAAGAGGACGCATACATAGCCGCGCGACTCAAAGGTAAACGCTTGTTCCTGGTCGGCCCAGATATAGCCATCGCTAGCAAAATTGTTACCTAGATGGTTTTGTGGCTGCCATGTAAGCATTACAGTTCCATCTGGGGGGCCATCGAGGAATGTCCAATGCATTGGCTGGGATTGGCAGATCCGAGGTGCGCTCGTCAGATACTCGACGGCGGTCTCGGAGGGCATCATGTGCATGCTGGGGTACCGGTTGCGCGAAACCAGGTGCATGTGGGGGAGCTATCATGATTGCGACAAAATTAGCGAGGGTTTCCAGATCATAGGGCAATCGATGTAGGAAGTTGTTGGGGTCTTACCAGCTGCCCCGGGATACGTGTCGCCGGGTCATCCATTTTGGGCGCTTGATTGCCAAGTGCAATCAACTTTGGGAAAAAGCAAGTAGATTAGGTTCAAATCAAGTGAGGCAATTAGGATGCGATGGAGGGAGATAGGGCAAGAGCTATGAAGGACGGAGGTGATCAATGAACGCGACACTACGCGGGAGATTTTTGATACGGTATCCAGCAACGACCTGATGTGCAGAACACCTGAACCTCCCGGCACCATCTTTCCATCTTACTATTCTCACAGTTTGAGAAGTTCACTCATTCATTCATTCAGATAATCTTGTCTAAAGATATAGAAAATAGACCATGAAGGAATGAATATGCTCCGTTTGTATAAGGTAAGAAATCTTGAAAAATGAATGTTGGCATGGGAAAAGGCGTGCTTCACATTTAGATATAATATTCTAGCATTTTTCTGCCTCAACTCAAGACCTGTTTTCTTTCAACAGTTAAAGACCAGATAACATTCAAGGTCAAGAAAAGGCACAATGTGCTCTCAACTGGATATTTCCAAAGGAATATTTGTAAAGCATTCCAACAGTCTCGGCCTTAGGCGGCAGCTCTCCACCTAAGCTTTTGCCAATTCCTCCACATTTCGTTCTCCAGTCTCCGAATTCTCCACTCAAAATCCTCTTTACTTGTCCCAGTGACCAATAAAGATCACTAGTTAATACAGTCACCCCAATTTGACCCGAGCTGGCTAATTCCTGTACGATTTAAGTACACCTTTGCCGATCCTGGCGTTTTTTTCCCTTCCACGCGAATAAGTATGTCTCTAAACCCCAGAGACAAGTCTGATCTTTTCTATCTCGTCTCCCATTTTCACCTTCAGACAAGTATTACATTGTCCATTGTAACTTTTCCAGTTCACCATAGGCGTTTTGGCAAGTCAGGAGTAGCCGGAGGATGTAATTCAAACAGCCCCTGATGAAGATGTTGAAAAAATTGCCATGCCTGCTCACGAGAAACCACCCACTTGCAACCTTACCGGCTATTGATCCCGAGATAGATTGTCAAGTGGTAAGTAAACTGGACTTGCGTGTTCCGATGCTATTGGGATTTTTCCATATGCTTTGAACTCCAGACATTCAAAGAACGTATAGTCTAACCATTTGGTTCTGTGGCGTCTAGGCCTCCTCGATTTCCTCGACCGAAGTAACATCGCGTTCGTCCTCAGCAGCATCTTTAGACCTGCACACAAAATAGAACAACTGCCGGCATTGTAAACTATCGCAATGCCAAAATCTCTGGCATGGAAGAGGACATCAGCCTCGACGGAAAAAGCTGCGCCTGGCTAGCTCCTGACAATCTTCTATATCTCTTATACACCGGTTGAATTCTAAGCACGTGTATGGAAGATTGTCAACCTACACTAATGGGCTGTCTTCGTAGTGTTCTCCTAGTATAAATCCCACGTACAATGCTGTCAGTCAGCCGGAATTGCAAATGAATGTGAATCAGATATGAACTTTGAGCTGACGAGTGATGGAAAGGGGTTTGATAGCAGCATGCCAGGCAGCGGTCATTGATTGGCAAGGCTTGGTGGCGCTCTGGTTTCTGATGGGCGCCTTTCAAGCTAGCTTCGGTCCCGGCGTGCCCTATCTCCTGTCATTCTTCTACCGCCGCCACGAGATGGGTCTCCGATACGTTCTGTTTCTGTCTGCCGCACTGCTGGCAAATACATTCACTGGTACCTTCGCCGAAGGTATATTTCCGGACAATCTGCGTTGGCAAATCAGCGATTGCTGTTCCTGGTTGAGGATGTCCCGGTCTGCGCGGCTGCTGTGCTGGCTTGGTTCTACGTGCCATATAGCCCGCCGAACGCGAAGTTACTAACTGAAGAAGAGAAGGAAGTTGCGTGTACCCTTGTATTGCAGGACTGCACGGGCAAGATCCAATAGAAGGAATCAGGCATGACGCTTCTCGATGTGAAAGCATGGCTTTTAGCATCAAGTCGAACATCAGCATCATCGTGTGTGCTGTACGGATAACTTGCTGAAGTTTAAATTCACACCTAGTTGACATGCTTCAGCTGCAACGTCAGTTTCTCTTCTCGTCCTGTGTTCCTACCCAGTATTCTCAAGGAGGTGGAGGTATTATCCTGTTGAACTTGATTGGCCCGTGTGTTCCCTTCCTGGGCACCAGTGTTTCCCCAGATGAACAAGACCCAAGCTGTGTAAAGGGTAGGTCAACGTGTGTAGCCTTTGTGCTCTTTAATATACCCCTCGCTTTGTGTCTGCGTGAGCTCCTGGCATGGGAGAATCGGCGTCTTCGCAAGAAGACTGGGCATCGCATTAAGGAAGGCCCGACTAAATCTATGCATGGGCTGGTAGCGGAGGATAAATCCAGCCAATTACCGCTTCGTGGCTGTGATTTTTGAGTCTTCTAGTAGATACGGTTAATACTATTTTGTGTCTTTGTGTTTTTGTATACAACACATATGCCCCAGCTGAAGGCTGTGTGATGACGATGATGTCAGAAATCCCACGTATGGTCTTTGAAGAAAGAAATGAGATATGAGCATTCCCCTTGAATATACAAATTTACATGAAGCTACTTCAGGTGAACTCTCTTTCAAATCGAAATTGCTCCCATTCTGTGATCCCTGCAGGTGGTACTTTGTCCCATCGTGGCCAGGCGTCAGTCCATGGATGGACAATTTGCCATGAAAACACCATATCTATACATCCAGACAAGCTTGATAGTAGTGGTCAGACTGTATAAGCGCCTTGGTCATTCTAAAAAATTTCTCAAAAGGTTTCCTAGATGGTAGTTACATCTAATTACCGTTGGAGTCGCGGGAAACTCACTCCGTAGGGCAAAAGGAAGAAAGACCGGGGCAGAAAGCTCCGGTCGCTGCTGAAGAAACAGGCTTGAGATGGCCAGCAGCGTCACTTGAGAACAATTTCATTCGTGCAACGTCACTCACCGAGGAGCTCATTGGAAACCCGGAGAGACTCGGACCATGTGACATCTCAATGGTGGGGTATGTTGGCATATAAAGGTTGAGCTGCCCACAGTGCTTTCATTTCCCTCATCATTCTATTGACTGGTTTACATCACAATAGTAACTATCTACTAACATGCACACTGGCATACCATCAAGGCTGACTTTCGATTAGATCTCAAACGGACAAGTACACACTGCCCTTCCTTTGGGAGCCATGGATACTTTTTGGCTGGGCACATTATCCCTTGGGGATCAAGGTATCTCAGGTAACTTCTGGGTATGAGCCGGTGTTCGTTCTTGCGTCGGAGATGAATTCAAATGTTTCTAGACATCAGATTCATCCTTGGCGTGGATTCGTTCTGAGATTATACGGCCTTTAACTTGATCTGGATAATACCAGCGAAAGGATCATGCCCTCCCCCCTTCACCTTTCCCAAACTAAAGCATAGAAACTAATGAAAGCTCAAAAGTCATCTGTCCGACTTGATCTCTGAACCATTATGTCTCCTCCAGCTGCCATTTTTGAGTCTGCTACTGTTGCCCCGGCCGGCATCAAGGGCAAGGTCATCGTCTCCGAGTCGGTGACCGCCACTCTGACTGGTCAGGGCCAGTCCAACCTCCTTGAGCAGTTTGGCAATAAGTGGGACGAGTTCAAGTTCGCCCCGATCCGCGAGAGCCAAGTCTCGCGCGCCATGACCCGACGCTACTTCCAGGATCTGGACAAATACGCCGAGAGCGATGTTGTCATCGTCGGTGCCGGCTCCTGTGGTCTGAGCACTGCCTATGTACTCGCCAAGGCCCGTCCGGACCTGAAGATTGCCATCGTAGAGGCCTCTGTGTCGCCCGGTTAGTCTTGGCCCTATGCGAGCATAGATTCTCAGATAGTCATGAAGATCTCCAGCCCAAATCAACACAGCATGACTAACATTACCCTATAGGCGGTGGTGCTTGGCTAGGTGGTCAGCTATTCAGCGCCATGATTCTCCGACGCCCTGCAGATGCCTTCCTGACCGAGCTTGGCGTGCCCTTCGAAGAAGAGCCCACGAACCCGAACTTTGTGGTCGTCAAGCACGCCTCGCTGTTCACATCGACGCTCCTGTCAAAGGTCCTCGCCTTCCCTAACGTCAAGCTCTTCAACGCAACCTGCGTCGAAGACCTGATCACCCGCCCAGACGGTGACGATATCCGCCTCGCCGGTGTCGTCGTCAACTGGACTCTCGTCACTCTCCACCACGACGACCACTCCTGCATGGACCCGAATACCATCAACGCCCCTGTTATCGTCAGCACTACTGGTCACGACGGACCGTTCGGTGCCTTTTGCGCTAAGCGTCTCGTCTCCATGAACGCTATTGAGAAGCTGGGCGGCATGCGTGGCCTTGACATGAACACGGCTGAGGACGCTATTGTTAAGAACACCCGTGAGGTCGCCAAGGGTCTTATCATTGGTGGTATGGAGCTGTCGGAGATCGATGGCTTCAACCGTATGGGCCCTACTTTTGGCGCTATGGTCATGAGTGGCGTTAAGGCTGCCGAAGAGACTCTGCGTGTCTTTGAGACTCGTAAGCGCGAGTGTTGCGAGTAAATTCGCACGCTCTTGTGCTAGCTCGCTTTGTCATTTCTGCTTGCTTCTTGGTTGATGCTAGTGGACTCGGTGGATGTGGAACTTTACGTAGCTTTTAACGATCATTGTTTCGTAAGAAAATACACTTTACACTCGTTTCGGGCCTATGCTCTTCCATTCGAATCTGTAGGCAAGTAAACAATTCTCGGAACGTTATCATCACTTCCCATGTATGAATCAGTTCTGCCGGTCGATGAAAACACTAGCCGCATCAAACATATACAGTACACTTTCGGGACCAAATATAAACAGACTGGTAAGCCATGCGACCCAGCCGCATCTCCCACGCATAATCAACATATTCCCCGAACCAGCTTGTAAGAAAAAAAAAATCAATCATCGTTCTCCCCTCTCGCCGTTTCTTCCGAAGCAGCACCAGCACCAGCACCAGCCTCGGCGGCAACCACCAAGCTCCTAGCGTTGCTCACCTCCCACTCAAACTCTTTCAAGGCACGCAACTCACCCGACATAAACAGTCCACCAATCAGACCATCCAAAATCCCAGCGCCGAAGCTCAGCGTACTGACCAGGACGAGGATGAATCCGATGTACGTGCGGTTGCCAACCCACCACACACCAATCATACAACCAATGGAAACCACAATAGACACCAGGAAATGCGCCAGACGCCAACGGCGCTGAGAGCGTTCACGGGACACGTATTTGTGGATGATTTCGATGATGTGATCGTATGTGTCTGATGAAAGGGCGGCGTTGGGAGAGACGGGCTTTGAAGTTGTTTTATGCAGGGCGGGAGAATTGGGTGAAGTCGGAGCAGAGTCTATAGAGTGGGAAGCATAGTATTTCGGCACTGAAGAACGGGTGATGACAGCCTCAACGGCGAAGTGGTCGCTCAGCGAGCAGAGGAGAGTGGGATGGCGCTGTGTCATGGAGATTTGAACTGACGCGACTGACCAGCTAGACGGCGGGAATGCAGGCGGGTAGCCACCGTCACCAACGAAGATATAATCCAGACGCTTACCGCGCGGGTCTGGGGTGTCTTTGTCAATGACTATGTCCTCACCCTTGGCTAGGCGCTTGCGCATGGCCTCAGTCCAGCGCCAGGTGTTGAACGACCCGTCGCATGTAGCTCCATTCTCGGCGAGATTGAACTCGGCGGTGGGAATAGGCCGATTCCGTGCTTTTTCAACAGGATCGATTGCTGCTGCAAGGGAGGAATCTGGGTGCAGCTCGCGCCAGGCGTCGCGAACAGGGCTCTGCGCGGTGATGAGACGGTGCGCGAAAGAGGAAGGTAGCATGTTGAAGTCGCCTAGGCCGATGACTAAATGACCACGTTCCGCAGCGCCGCGCATTAACTTGGAGATCTCCCACGCCTGTGCGGTCCGGTGGCAGATGTACGAGTCGTTCGGTTCGCGCTCATACGGCGCGTGTAGGTGGGTGCAAAACACCTCGGCGACGTCAGCGGTGCTAGGGCCGAATCGAACGCGTGCGCTGGCCACACCTTTCCCCACGAACCAGTCTCCTCGGAAGAATGCCGTTGGTCGGCCATTCAACGGGTAGCCGTACATGCTGCTCTCTTCGATCGGCCATTTTGACAGAATCGCCAATCCCGCACCAAAAATACCCCCGTAATAAAATTTCCCATACGGCAGGATGTGTCGAGTCTGATCGCGAATGCTCTCATAGTCCTTCTGGGTCCAACATTCTTGCAGTCCGACTATCTCTGGCGGCGGGCTGGCCAAGGCCAACTGCCGCCCAATCTCCGACATGCGTTCATGACGATACTTGGCGATGTATTTGAGACCCCAGCAGTTGAATGTGAGAATGCGAATGTCACTTGGAGCTTTGGAGGGGATAGGGCTAGCCATTGAACCTGGTATTGACCGGAATGAGCTTTGGCTGCTATATTTAGGGCTATTTGTCGATCAGGGAGTTTTCAATAAGATGCCAAACAAAGATATTATTCCACTTGACAGTCCACGAGTCCACCTGTCCCCTGAGTCCTCAGGGGACGGGCTTAGTATGACGCAGCTAGCAAAAGCTGCCCACAGACTTCACCGCTCGGCGAAGTACCACACCGCCTTGATATTGTGCTTCGCGACGCGTCTGATTAATTTTCATTTCGGGGTTCGGAATTGGCTATTGTCAACCTAATTTCGGCAATTGTTCATTTGGATGCTCTGACGCATCCCTTATAGTACAATGGATCACGTAAACCCCCAGCCTCGCCGCCGGGACCCTCGCGCCAAATCTCCCGCCGAGTCTTCCTCCGATGAACTCGCCGCCGGCTCCGACCACGACGAAGCCGAACGCCGCCGAGCCAGCTGGACTCTGCAAAAGGGGTTCACCCCACAGCGCCCAAAGAAGTCCGGCCGCCTCTACAGCGAATCTGAGAGCCCCGATGAGCTAGCTGTGGATGCCGACGAGTATTGGCGTTCCTCACGCACCCGCAACCACCACCGGAGCCCTTCTCCAATCAACCGCCCGGACATCATCCGTGATGACCATTCCCAGGGCGGGTCGGATGATCTCCCGGAACGCGACGTGACTGGCCCCGACGAGAACCAGGATCATGATGTCGATGACTGGTCTGACCGTTCTGCCACGCCCGTTGCTGCTCCGGCGCCCCCTAAGCCCGATCATCTAAACTACAAGGAGAAGTTCGTTATGCGCGGCCACCTACGTGGAGTGTCCGCTGTGCAATTCTCGCCCGATTGTACTATGATCGCTAGTGCTGGTAGGTTTTTCATGCTCATGGTCTACTGCGTGACTTGTCAACTGACTTTGCACAACAGGCGCGGACGCAGCTGTCCGAATCTGGGATACCGCGAGTGGTAGACTTATTCATGTGTTTGAGGGACATCTAGCTGGTATCTCCACACTGGCCTGGGCTCCTCACGGCGAATGGATTGCCACTGGTTCCGATGACAAAACAATTCGTCTCTGGGACGTGAAAACTGTACGAACCCCATCATTTCATGTCCTCGGACCTTTTACTAATGCTTTGATACAGCTCAAGGCCCACGGCAAGATCTTTGATGGCCATCACAACTACGTGTATCAAATTGCATTCGCACCGAAGGGTAACATTCTTGTCAGCGGTTCCTACGACGAGGCCGTGTTCATGTGGGATGTTCGCCGAGCCCATGTCATGCGCTCCCTTCCAGCGCACTCCGACCCTGTTGCCGGTATTGATGTTGTGCATGATGGAACTCTCATTGTGTCCTGTGCTCTGGATGGACTGATCCGCATCTGGGACACCCACAGCGGCCAGTGTCTCCGCACCCTGGTCATGGAAGATAACCCGCCTGCAACATGCGTCAAGTTCTCTCCCAACGGCAAATATGTCTTGGCCTGGACTCTGGATGGCTGCATTCGAATGTGGAGTTATGTTGAGAGCCGTGTGGTCAAGACATTCCAAGGCCATGTCAACGAAAAATACAGCTTGTCGGGATGTTTCGGTACCTATGGGCCCCGAGATGTGCTCTTCAACCCGCCCCTATGCTTCGCCGTCAGCGGCAGTGAGGATGGTTCCATTCTCTTCTGGGATCTTGTGAGCAAGCAAATCTTGCAGCGCCTCGATGGTCATTCATCTGCTGTGCTTTGTGTTCACACGGGTACACTTCGCGGCACGCGTATGGTTGTGAGCTGCGGACTGGATAGGACTGTTCGTTTATGGGAAGAGGTGGATGACATTGATATCGGATCTAACGATGATGATGCAACCAGCGACGGTGTCACCCCTACCCCCGAGTCTCACTCGCAACAGAGCACCTCTACACACGATGTAGACGGCGATGATGCCATGACTGATGTGTCCGCTGTGCCTTCCACTGCCGCCACCCCGGCGGAAGATGTATTGATGGCGTAAGCTCATCTTTGTCAATTATCTAATGATTCTTCTTTCTTTCGGCATAGGCGACTGCTTTTCGGGAAAAGGACAATACCCCGGCGTCTGGTGTTCTCATATGGACTATTTGTTTCCCTGCTGTTTTTTTTTCCCCGCTTGGGCTTTCATTCTTCTCGATGATACGAATTCATCTGATTGCTACGGGCATTGCATCCGAATCTGTGACCTTTTGAACGAATGTACTCATCCAGAGTCTGATAATTCAATACTCATTCTTAACATTGAGCAGCAGAGCTTACATCTAGAGTCTGGTTTCGAATTGAAGAAGTACATATTCGAGGTCCCCCTAGTCTTCTCGCGCCAACATTTATCTTCCCTTTTTAAGGGCTTGCGGGAACTCCTGTCTGATTTGGTGGGGAGTGGAAGGGTGAGCAAAGACTGCAAGTCAGACAAGACATGCGAACGGTATTTACGACCGTGTTGGCAGTAATACTTCAACTGACGAGAGAATCTCTATACTTGCATATCAGGCCTAGACGAACCCTATCAGAGTCTGTCGATCACTTGTCAGGTCCACCAGGTTCTGTTAGGTGGATATTTATAGAACAACCCCGTCGCCCTGGCCCTCATTGTCTTTTCCTACACCCGTAAGGTCTTCAGGAACTACCTAGGCAGGCATACCCAAGAGTGAATGTCGCGAAGCACCCTTCATTTGTAACCAGTTCCAGAGTGTCAATGGTCTGAGGAATTTCAATTTCAACGCGATCCTAGCTTTGTCACTAGGAAACGAAGGATCTAGCGTTATGTTCTATTCTTGGGACCACAGGGGGTCCTAAAATAACTCCGTGCACGTACCTAAAAAAATATTCACCCTAAAATAGCTATGATTTGCCCGGATCTCCAGCCTTACCCTTATGTTGTGTAAGATGTTCTATTTTCTATCTTAGGGTCATACACGGGGTTAAGCTAGTGCCTATGATTACCACACTCTAAATCGAACACTATTGGCATGATACTAACAAGCTACCTGAAAACCATGATCTGACAAAGTCCTGAACTCCAGAATTTCTGTGTCTACTAGACCGATGAGATAATAAGCGAACACACCGTATTGAGATTGTTGCTCTATATGCTACATGCAAACTGGGACCAAATATCTGCCACGTGACAGGACGGCCATATACTAGTTGGTCCAACCCAATCTTGCAGTAAATGCTTCTCTCCAATAACCGCGTGTGTAGATGTATCCTGTAGAAAATAGGGTTGTCATGATGTGCAGAAAGAAATTGGTTGGATAATAGAGCAGGTAGCCCCAATTGAACACGCAACGTCGGAAATCTTAGGGTATCTCTTTCCACAGATCGCTAATCGTTGACGATTTGACTAGCTCTAGTAGATATAGGATCTGACTCGGGGGGGATGAGACCAGGCCCAAAATCACCAGCCGAACCAGCGGGAGGTGTGTCGTCGGACTGACCGGATGGAGCCCGATCAACTTGTTTGTTAGCTCCTCTCCCAGCCAAAGAAGACCGACCAGGCGTCTGTGTCTTCCTCAGCCCATCATCATTCACGAATCGACGAAGGGACTCTTTGCCAACTTTATAATCAACCACCACACGCAGTGCGTCGTACGTAATATGAGGATTCGCCTGGAAAGCCTCGCGGATTCGGGCTCGATCTTCGTCTTTCAGCTTCGACGGTCGGCCAGAGCGGGCTTGGGAGTGGTTATTGACCCGATTGCTCTCTTGGAGAATGGTTGATTTAATGGTCGAGAGGGGAATATGTGGAAATTCATCATGGATCTGTCTGTATGTCCATTTGGCCGTGGTTCTGAGCACACAGAGCCGGGTGCGAAGGAAGGGATCGAGTTCAGCCCCACGTCGACGAGATTTCTTCTCGGGTTGATTTGGGATTTCAGACGTCTCGAGCCCCTCGGGCCCCATGGTAGCAAGCTTGTGCCTGCGGAGGGCCGTGAGGGGGGCGGGGTAGGCGTACGATGTGGTAGGCGGTATAGAGTATATTTTTTGCCGAGTGGGCCCTAGCAGGACGGTCGAAGGATAAATCTCTCGATTTTGAACTCATTCGGGGGTTCGCCTTCTCTCAATCACACGTTACGCGTGGTTGGTCAAAATGGAGCCTAGCATCATGGAAAATTCGATGGTTGACGACCGTTCTTGATGATTTCACCTGGCGATAACACAGTCAACCGGGACACAAGGCATTGAAATCCACATTGTCGCGTCACCTGGAGCATCACGGTTATGTCCTTCAATCTAATTTCCAGCCCGAATCCACATCAAGTCATTCAAGTCTTCTGTTCTGCATCGGTAAAGCTTGGGGACTCGGTACCAAGCCGTTACATGGCGTGCTAGATCCAACAGTTCAACAAGATATCTTTAGTTCCCATTTTATCTCCGATCTCCGATCTTTGCTCCATCCTTCACGGTTAACCATCTTGTCGGACGTCTTTTTTTTTCAATGTTGTCTTCATTGATCTAGTTCCGTGATGGGACTTTCCTACCGAGGTGAGCTGGGCATAGGCCCCTTATTTGGTAGTTGCTCCATCGAACATCATTTTTACGGGGATGTTCTGTTGGTAACAATGATCTGGAAACCATCTACCATGAAACCTTTCGAGAAGAACCTGGGCAAAGTTGTTTTTTCCCTTCACACCAGCGCTACTCTCTACTGGAGACTACGAAGTGTAGACTCGACGTGATGCATGGTGAAGTAAGAAGCACCCGTGGACGACGGTCAGATCGTATCCCGTATGGAGTACGGACCATAGTGATTGAGGTGGGCCATACCCTATAGGCAGACGCGACAAGAATTCTCCGTCGACATGGGTTTCGGGTGGCCCCCCAGCGCTGGGCCCTGTGTCTCACATTGATGATCGGACCACCTATACGGAGTATTCCGCAGGGTGCACCCACATCGGTCGGTTTCAACTTTTGTGCTTGACACATTCAAAGTTTCTGAGAGCTGTGTGCGTGCACAACTTGTCTCTAAAGCTCAGAACTTGGTTGCGTGCATCATCTCAGTTATAAGAACCGTCTCCAGAAGGCTATCAGGGGTCCACTCTAGAACTTGGCGATCGGTCCAACCGGTATACATTAGCTGTGATAGGCATATGTTTGCACAATCCCTAGGTTCGATTCTGCAGGTATGCGTGCCTTGCGCCTCTTTCTCCGTATGTGTGAATTTAATTTACACCGTTGAATCATAAATTCGAGAGACGGGAGGCAATAGGCCGTGTGGCGTTTAAAAAAGAAAAAAATTTTAAAATCCCCTTGGAGGAATGTATAGGGAGACCTGTTCACTCCTTGGGAATTAAATATTGTCCACTGGACCTCTATCCCCTCCTTTTCGGTAGGCTACCAGGCAATCAACGTCAGGTATAAATATCAAGTCTAATGGAAATAGTCAGTGGGAGGTCTAGACTGAAACGGGAGCCAATCAGTAAATTCAGGGGCCAAGTTTAGAATCACAATCTACTCCGTACATTCAAGACTTTCCCTCTTTTTCTGGGGAGGGGGGAAATCCATTCTTCTCTTCTACACTCGTTTAATTTTCTAGTTACAGTTCCTGGTTGTTCGAAAACCAGTGTCTCATCTCCTACTTTTTCTTTGCGGTCCTTTCGATTTGATCATTCTTCATTCTATAGGTTGATCCTGCCATTCCTTCTTCTTTTTTTGTGTGTCTCTTTTCTCTCCAGTGACTTATTCGCACTCTTTATATCACAATCCGATCATCGCGCCAGTCCATCCCGACATCCTTACATCCTTACTTCCTTACTTCCTTGATGAATACGCGCCTCGGTTCCAAATTGTTAGATTCAGATTGGGATACCGTTTCGAACATCAATTGCGCTTGGCCAACATGCAGAACTTCAAATGGGCGCTGCTTGGCCTGGCCATCGTGCCACAAACCCTGGCAGCCGACACCTTATCCACGAACGGATTTCACCTGTGCATGACCGATTCAGCAATCAACTTTCAAACGATGGATATTACCTACACTCGGTCTACTGGCGTAGTGGTCTTCGATGTGGCGGGTACCAATGCCATGGAACAGATGGTGTTGGCCTCTATCAGCATCACTGCCTATGGCCACGAAATCTACAGCAAAGAATTTGATCCCTGTGGTACTGACATCCATGTGAATCAACTGTGCCCCGTCCCCAAGGGCACTTTCAAGGTCAGCGGATCCGTGGAGGTTCCATCGAAATATGCCAGCCAGATCCCTGGCATCGCATTCAACGTTCCCGACTTGGATGGTCAGGCAAAGCTTGTCCTGAAATCCAGGAAAGACCAAGGTAATGTGACGTGCCTCGAGTCTCAACTGACCAACGGCCACTCCACCAGTGTCGGCGCGGTCAAATATGCAACGGCCGGCATTGCGGCCGGCGCTCTAGCACTGAGCGGTGTCTCGGCCATGAGCTCGGTGGGAGTTGTTGGTTCACCGACGTCCGGCCCTGGATTTGGCGATGTAATGGGCTGGTTCCATTCCATGGCCACCAATGGCATGCTCAGTGTCGCCTACCCCCAAGTCTATCGCAGCTTCTCATCGAATTTCATGTGGAGTACGTGTATGATCTCCTGGCCTGGCTTGCTGAAGTCCATCGACAAATTCCGAGGGGCCACAGGTGGCAACTTGACCGTGGAAAGCTATGAGCTCCTGAAGAAAGCCACAATGATGCGAAAGAGCTTCTCATCCACCAATACAACCAAACGGAGCTGGGAATACACCCTTCAATTCGGCGACCTGGTCGCTCGCTCGGCTGAGACTGACGATGCTAGCTCTTCGAGCAGCGAGAGCAGTGCATCTAGCAAGGTGAACGACTTGAAGCAAGTCGCTCAAGAACTGATGATTCCTTCTGCCGATGTTTTCATGAATGTCCTCTTGATCTTCGCGATCGTGATTGCGGCGGTTGTGGTCGGTATTCTTCTAATGAAGGTCGTTCTGGAACTATGGGCGCTGTATGGCAAAAAATTTCCTGAACAGCTGGCCGAATTCCGGAAGGATTACTGGGGCCTGATGGCGCGGACAATCACCAACATGATCCTCGTGCTGTACAGTATTTGGGTGCTATACTGTGTCTACCAACTACGAAAGGGTGACTCGTGGGGTGCAAAGTTGCTGGCCGCTTTGACCCTCACACTCTTCACGGGGCTTCTTGTTTTCTTTGCTATTCGCATTGCCTACAAGGCCCGCAAATACAAGAAGATTGAGGGAGATACCAGCCACCTGTACGAGGATAGGGAAACCTGGAAAAAGTACAGCATGTTCTACGATGGCTACAAGAAAGACTTCTGGTGGATCTTCATGCCCGTCATTGCGTACTCATTAGTCAAGAGCTGCATCATTGCCGGGGGCGAGGGACACGGTATGTTCCAAAGCGCCGGCCAGCTGGTCTGCGAAGTCCTTCTATTGGCACTCTTGGTGTGGAGTCGCCCATATGCCACCAAGGCCTCATTGGTAATCAACATCGCCGTCCAGGTTGTCCGGGTTCTGTCCATTGCTTGCGTCCTGATCTTTGTCGAAGAACTCGGAATTTCCCAGACAACAAAAACCGTTACCGGCATTGTCCTCATTGTCGTGCAGTCCACGCTCACTGCAGTCCTCGCTATTCTCATTGCTGTCAACACCATCATCAATTTCTCCCGCGAGAACCCGCATGCGAAACAGAGAAGAGAAGCTGGTAAGTCGCAGCTACCTTGAAATCTCAAGTCCCTCCCAAACATCTGCACCACCTAACGATTCTTTTCTGATAGAAAAAGCCACCCGCGACTTCGACGATCTGACTCCCTTGGACGCCCGAGACTCTCTCCTGATGGACCACCCACAGCGCAAGGAGTTCGCCGAGATGAACAACTTCAACTTCACCGGCCCTCACGAGTCTTACCAAGATGAGCCTAGACGAGCCAGGTCACCTAGCAACACCGAAAGCGCTGGCTTAGTCCACAACGACTACGGCGTAGCGCACGGGCGCAGCACAAGTGCTGACAGCCATGGCTTGCGTGGCTCCATCGAAGGTCGTCATCCCACGGCCCCGGGCTACGGAATGGCATACTAAAAAAACGAAGCAAGAAATCTTTAAAAACACCCAACGAAAGCGTCACAGGCTTGAAATGACGTTACAATTTCTCTTCTCCCTTCCCTGTTTTTCCCCTTGCTGCTCGACATTCAGCTCAGGCACGAGTGCGGTGGCTAGGGAGTTACCTATTATCTTTTTTTTTTGACGGTTTTTAGCGTGCTTGAAAATGGCGGCTGGGCATTTTTTGATCTTCCCGTCTTTAAATACATCTTTTTGTGTGATATCACTTCCATTCCTTTGTCATCTTGTCTCTATACATACCTCGTTCATTACCATGTTCACCATCTGTCATTTATTATACCGCTTCCAATTGATGAGAATTTCTTCCATGTTGATCTTTCTTATTCTCCCTGTGTGCTCATCGTATTGTACCCATAGTGAAATGAGTATGATACAGCCAAATTATCTCTCACGTTGGTCTCTATATTCTTTTTCGAAACACGGTCCCAACATCAGTCCAGGGTTGAGCTGGATTTTCCCGCCCCTCCCCCGCCCCCCCCCCCCCTTTTCCCATACTATAAAGTTTCTAAACAAGCGTTGATTTATTTTCAAATACCCTACAACTTTTGATCTTATTCCCTAGTTGAGACATAGGTTTGCAGATAGAAAGAATGTTATACATAGTGGCAGCTAGGTGGTTGGATAGACAGACCAAAGCACAGCGAGGTCTCTGAACAATCTCGTGAATGAAAATTACTTGGTCATTTTGTGCGAGACATATCAATGGATCGGACTTTAAGTGCTAGCCCTGTAGAGCCTAGTAAATCTTCCACGAGATCTGTGAACTGAATAATTCGAACGTCGCCAACGGGGCCGTCGTCAAAGTCACGTGGATTCTTTGGCCCTATCAAGACCATCAGCCATGCCAATTGAAGATCATTGCACCATCAAAATAACTGTTCTGAGCTCAGGAATGCTTAGCTGTATTGTAACAATCGGGGGGGCACAGTCAATCTTATGTTTTGAATTGAGAGAATGGATATTTTAGAAAGAAACATGTCCAATCGTAATTATCAATTCTAAGCAGCAATTTCAAATATATATATCACATCGTCACTATATGGTGTGTTTCTGGCCTGCCGCGGTGGTTCCCACGCACACGGCCCGTTCCTTATGGGCTGATGAGCCTTGTCGACCCCTGCAGCTTTTAGAATTTCCAAGTGAGAGCGTCCAACAACGAAAACCCTCTGCCCTACATTCTACGACCTACGACCTACCGCTTGCGGAACGATTTACAAGACACTATTCAAGGACTTTCGACTTTTGATTGTGAGGCTAATTTCACAAGAAGAAGTATTGTATCACCGAGCTCGAACGAAGACCGAAGACTTGCTTTCACCGATCGCCGAACGATTTCCCTCCCGCTTAGCATGAACAAATTCAACCTAAGCATTCCAAGGTTGATTCTCGAACCTCGAGAGTCGCGAACAAAAGCACAAAAGCACAGGACCAGATAACCTTGAAGGGAAGTTGAGGGAGAGGGGAATCGCCAATACAACCAGCTCGCGAGGTTGACACACCCGCTTTGGCTGGCGGCCACGCAATTATCAATCCATGAGGCCCAAAATCGCTGGCCTATGGCAAAAAAAAAAGGAACTTAGAAAACACATGAAAGAAACGAAGTCGTATCTGAAACGAGAAGAGACTGGATGCGTCACTTGAAGGAGCCACAACGAGCAGATTAGCGTTGGTAGGGGTGGTAGGTTCGGTGTCCACCTCGGCCGCCACCACGGTAGTTTGCACCAGGCTTGCCGGCGTTGCGGGGTCCAGTGGGAGCATTGGCAGGTGCAGTGCTTTGAGGCTGGGGCGCGGTTCCTGTTCAAGGGATGTGTTAGTTATTGGGAGCTAGTAAAAGAAGAACGGCGTTGAGATGAAAGAGGCACAATATGCAAAGACTCGTAAGAATCACATACCACTACCCGAGCTTCCAATGCGTCTCATACCTGCTGGTCCGGTCGGGACATGAGGTTGAGGAACTTCATCGTACATGCCCTCCCACGAAGTTGGGCCACCCTGCTGCTGGTAAGGCGAGAAACCGCGAGGGTCCATGGAGCGGTTGATCTGTTGCTGTTCGTACTTTTGCTGCTCAAAGGCAATTTGCTCGGTCGCATTGTATCCAGGTCCAGTCTGTCCTCTGGCTGCGTTCGGGGGTGCATTGTTGTAGTTTGCGGCCATAGCGGCGGCGTTGGGGGCAGGGCTGGTGGAATCGCTGCCTGGACCCCCGGGGGCATTGGCTTGGTTGGGCTGCATCATGGAGGGGTTCATCATGTTGGGCATGGCCTGCTGGGAGCCAGGGCTCTGGGGGCCGGGGCTCATAGCCCCTTGTTGCTGGGCACCCATTTGCTGTTGCTGTTGACGCATCTGCATCTGCTGCATCTGCTGCATCTGCGCGATCATAGCAGGATTCATGTTCATAGCGCCACCCATGTTCATGCCAGGCATTCCTCCCTGTCCGGCGGCCATCTGATGTTGCATGATGGTAAAGTACTGTTGCATGCGTTGCCAGTATTGGGCCAGCATCTGAGGAGTCATCGAACTACCCTGTCCCTGCTGAGGCGCTTGCTGCTGACCTCCATCGTTCTGGTTTTGGTCACGGTATCCTCCATTGCGGTGTCCCCCGCGTTGATCGTTGTTCTCACGCAGGTTGCCACGGGGCTGCGCCTTCTTGACCTCAATCGGCTTGCCCAGAATCTCAAGAGGACGGGAAAGAGCCTTCTCAACAGCCGCATCGCCGTCGAAAGTGACGAAGCCAAATCCACGGGGACGTCCGGTGTCCTTGTCCATCATAAGAGTGGCATCCACAACGCGGCCAAACTGCATAAAGAATTGCTTAAAGTCTTGCTCGGTAGCCTCCTGGCTAACACCACCAACGAAAATCTTCGAAGTCTTCTCCTGTTCATCGCGGGGAATAGCACGCTTGGGATCGATCTTCGATACTAGTCAGCAACAGTTCACTTGTACGAATTGTCCCAGTTGCGAGGTAGTTCTTACAATCTTTCCATCCAGATAATGCTCCTTTACCATCACAGTATTCACAGTCTTAGCGTCACGGAAAGTCAAAAACCCAAAGCCGCGAGAGCGTCCAGTGGCGCTATCCCGCATGACGGTGCATTCCTGAACCTCGCCGAATTGAGAAAAATAGTCACGGAGGGACTCTATATGAAGAGAAGGATTTATTAGCCACATGGTGCGTTTTCCACGGAGAAAGAGGATTTTTACCGTCTGTAGTTTCCCAGTTCAGACCACCGATAAACATCTTTCTAGTAGGTGGATTGTCATTGGTCAGCGAAGCTTCAGCAAAAAGTTGATGAACCGAATATTTAGGGAACAGATATTCAATGAACGGCAAGATGATGAAGAAAATGCATGTCGTAAAAACGATAGTGGGGAATGGTAGAGGAAGTAAATCCATGTGCAAAGGTGGGTGGCGAGGTATTGCTATTCATGGGCTATTCGAGTGCGTGAAAAGCTTCGCTATTCAGAGCACAACTGCCCTAAAATAAGGAACACACATGCTAGGTCGGTACATAATCTTCGACCTCGCAGTCACTGTCAATGTATACTTGTATGGTCTTGAGCAAGTTTGATGTTCAGGTCCGGGATTTAACGTCAATCCACTGGTTTACATGGACCTCGATGCAGAATTCTTGTCCTCCTCTTCCTGAATTGCTCAAGCCGGAGACAGGCGAGATGAGAAGCGTGTAGGTGCAAGTATTTCAGTCGTAAAAAGTGAATTGTCACTGTCTGTCTGTCTGACCCGCGAAGACATTTGCCTTGTCTATCACAGAGTCCCCAAGCTAGATAGCTACTTCTTGCTCTGCCCTATCAAGGTATATCGACAGGAAACTATATAGTATCGGCTGTACTATATATGAATCGTTTGTGACAAAGGTCCGTGGGTGGCGTGTGAATGATTTGCGCAAGCAATTGACTTGACCAAGGACTCCCGGCGATGTGTCTTTTAAGCTTCTGCTTGATTCCGTGGGCCGAATGTCGAAATATCCCGAAATTCGATTTGTGGACAAAATTTGGTAGACGTTGATGGGCGTGTGATGACAGTTCTTTGAACAGACACGTTGAATGGTCGCCGAGTCCGCATTTTGTTTTTCCTCCTCTCCAAGGTTGAAACGCATGCGCCGTCAATCAACCGGCAAGTCTTCTTCTCAAATCGCCCACAGTCCACAGCCCAGAGAAATCTTAATCCATAGCTAGGAGACTCCTTCCTGCACCCAGAACTGTAGTCGAACCCATGAATAGCAACTGGCGCCACCTAGGCTTGTTCCGGAGAGGGAAACCCCGAAACCAGACAGATACATGCAATTGGGGAAGATTTGGAACATAACATGTGAAAGAAACACAATTAGTGAACTTACCCATCTTCTTTGATTCCTGTTCCGTGAGACTCGGTCTCGACAGGAGAGGGCGCCTGGGCATTAGCAGGGGCGCCATAAGCGTTTCCGGAGCCGTTATGATAACCCGGGTCAGATTCCGAAGGTTGAGTAGGGCGCGATTCATAGGTGCCAACAGGGGCAGGTGCAAAATCCTGCCCAGCAGATTCTCCAGCAGCAGGGATGGTCGCGAGATCAGTAGACTTTGGCGCCTCAACCGCTACAGTAGTGCGATTTGTGGAATCGTCAGCGTCGTACCTAAAACAAATAAGTTTTATTAGAACCTCGTTTCAATTTCAATGTGAAGTAGAAAACATACAGATCAGCAAAGAGATCATCTCCATCCTCTGGGTCAGCCATGATGAAAAACTGAGTGGTCAATGAAGCGATAGGAGAAGTAGTCACAGAAACACGTTTTAACCTTGTAAATCGGAGTAGAGCAGAACTAAAGTAACGAGAAAAAGTAGAAAAAGTGAAAACACGCGAAGAAGAAGTTGAGAAGTCTAGGACCGCGGAATTCCTCAAGCGGAGCGCTTACATAATGCGCAGTCTTCACGCTGGACTCGGGATGAAAGATAGACATTTGGTATCTGTTTCATGGTCAGAATCTACAAAATTGCTTTCATCTGCCTTTCATTTCGAGTCTACTCCTCTCTGATATGCTCTATTGATCTTAATTTCAGTTCCTACATGGCCTGGCTGCAGGATAACGGTATTCATTCTATTACAGTGCCACCCCGCACGTGTATTAGACTCCCGCATGAGCACACCACTCTCGGAATCCCCATACGATGGCGAACAAAAAAGGGAAACAGGTGTGTTCATCATTCTGATCCTAATCTTTTCTTGCATCCTTCGGTGACATGGAGCTAACTGCATCACTAGGAAATGGTCCAGGTTGGTTCGTATCTTTTGCCTCCCCTTGCATTTTAATCGCAGCTATAGCTTACATGGTCTTTCTTCCCATTTCACAGACAAGTCTGAGTGAGTCAAAGCTTTGAATGCGCTTTTCTACAGCTACCAAAGCAGTTGTAATGTCTGTTGAGTGCTAATGTTCTTTGAAGACGTGCCGATTCGCCCTTTTGGGCTGGCCGAAATGCGTCCCTAAACCCGGGATCGTCGAAGTTCCATGGCTCGAATACTGTTGTTGGCGCATCATACTCACATGCTGATATTGTACAGTACGTTAGAATGCATTCTACAGATCCTGCAATTGATCGGAAACAACGACTGACAAGTGTCTTCCTTGGCAGACCTACCTCCTCCCACCCAACCCCGAGAACACCACCGAAGCCATCGGCTACAAATTTTGCATCAAACTTGGTTCGCCGACCAGGAAACTTGGTCGCCTCACCTCCCCGGCAACCGTACCCCGGCATAATGACTGACGGGGTCGACGAGTGGAGCCGTGACCCTACAGATGAAGATGAAGATGAAGATGATTATGATGATGAGATTGTGTACGATGATGACGAAGACGAATTCGGACTCCCTAGTCTTGCTAGTATGAGGAGGAAAAATTCCGCGCCTTTGAAGGCCCAGAACATTGATTTCAGTGGTGGGGCAGCAGGCAACCCCTCAACACTTGGGTTTGGATTAGCAGCCGCCAACAGGCAACGCGCAAATAGCTCGGATATTGCAGAGGAGCGTGGTGCCCCGCTGTATCCAACTGCTCGTAAGGGAGATGGGAAGATCCTCAGACCTCAATACAAGGACATCTTACAAGGTATGTATGACTTGATGACTGGAAAGAAGCAGGGCTATGCTAACATGTATAGATCCTGCTAATGCTTTGAATCTCATCAATCACTCCCCACCTCCTATAGATGCTTCACCTAAAGAGAGGGATATCCATTCGAGTCACATTACGCGAATTAACAAGTTCAAGCGCATATTGCAAGCAAGCACAGTATCTCCCACTGAGCTGCGGGATCTCGCTTGGTCCGGTGTCCCGGAAGAAGTGCGGCCAATGACCTGGCAACTTCTCCTTGGCTACCTTCCTACAAACAGCGAGCGACGCATTTCCACCCTGGAACGGAAGCGCAAGGAATACCTTGACGGAGTCCGGCAGGCCTTTGATCGGGGTAGCGGGGCAAGCTCTGCAAACCCCCCTTCGACCAAAGGCCGCGGTAGAGGTCTTGATGAGGCGGTTTGGCACCAGATTAGCATCGACGTTCCACGCACCAGCCCTCACATCCCATTGTACGGCTATGAAGCCACCCAGCGCTCCTTGGAACGCATCCTTTATCTCTGGGCCATTCGACACCCAGCAAGTGGTTACGTCCAAGGTATCAATGATCTAGTCACACCATTCTGGCAGGTCTTCCTGGGCGTTTACATAACCGATCTGAACGTTGAAGATGGCATGGACCCAGGCCAATTGCCTCGGAGTGTGCTAGATGCGGTAGAAGCAGACACCTTTTGGTGTTTGACAAAGCTGCTGGATGGTATCCAGGACAACTACATTTATGCCCAGCCTGGCATTCACCGACAGGTCAGGGCACTACGAGATCTGACAGTGCGCATCGATGCAGCGCTTGCGAAGCACCTAGAGCAAGAAGGTGTGGAATTTATGCAATTTAGTTTCCGATGGATGAACTGCTTGCTCATGCGGGAAATGAGCATCAAAAACACGATACGCATGTGGGACACGTACATGGTACCTATTCCCCCACAGGACTGCTTTACATGGTATTGACTGTCATTCCAGGCCGAGGAGCAGGGCTTCTCTCGATTCCACCTATATGTTTGTGCTGCATTCTTGGTTAAGTGGACAGATCAATTGGTCAAGATGGATTTCCAGGTACGATTTTGCAATCGAACATTGCCACCATTAAACAGGTACTAACGTTCTTCCAGGAGGTTATGATGTTCCTCCAAGCATTGCCAACGAAGGGTTGGACCGAGAAAGACATTGAGCTCTTACTCAGTGAAGCATTTATCTGGCAGAGCCTGTTTCAAGACTCGCGTGCTCACCTCCGGCCTGCTGGTGATGAACCTCCTGAAAATGGTATCTTTTATTGATGATAATCATAATTCATGATCCGAATTCCCAACTTCTGTTTTTTCGGATGCCTTCTCCCGGGGCAGACATGGTCCGTCTCGCTCAGTTGAAATGAATGCCCTTTTGGTTGAATGCCCACAGCAGCTTCAAGAAATCATTCTCATCACACATTCTCGCGCGCCTCTCTCCGAGATCAGTGTCGTCCTCTAGGACCTGGCGCACTTTCTCGCGGACTAATTCTGCAACCTTGCTACGCTTCTTGCGTGAAGCTCCATTCTTCAGTGCTGCTTCGAGACGGGCATTTGTGCTCTCCTTGAAGAAATCAGGAACATCGTCATCGTCCATATCCATGACTTCGTCAACCGGTTCCTCGACAGCCTGTTCCTCTTCTTGCTCCTCGTCCATGTCCATTGCCATGGCATTGTCATTGACGACTTCAACCGGGCCATCCTCCACCGGGATGTCATTTTGTGCACACCATGTCCGATAGTTTGCCTCTAACAATTCCATGATGCTTGTCGTGCCAATGAAACTGGACCGAAGGGTCTTGTTCTTCCGTACGAAGACAATTCGCAAAAGGCCATCCCACTCTTCGTAGTTGATCTGTGGCCGTGGGTTCTTAGGGACCATTCGAATGACGCTTGACTCGACCTGCGGCGGTGGTTTGAAGTTGTTCTTGCCAACCTTCATGATATGATCAATCTTGGCCCACATTTGCGCATTGACTGAAAGTCGACTGTAAAGTTTGTCGCCGGGCTTGGCGAATAAACGCAGAGCGAACTCACGTTGGAACCTGCACAGAGGGTTAACATGTCAGCTTTCAACTACACAGAACATTTCTGAAAGCTTCTAGCCTTGATGATGGGGACTTACATGAGTACACAGGAACGAGGCGCCGGAGATGTAGCCAGGAGCTTGAATGTGAGAGGAGAAGAGATCTTGACTTTGTTAGACTCGGGGACAGCGTTTGAAGGAGATATGGGGTTTTGTACCTGGTAAGGAGTATTACTGATACAGACATCGAAGTATGGGAGCTCCGTCTTCATCACATCTCCAAGAATGACCTCCAGGCGCTTTTGGTATGGAGTGGACTGGAAGCGCTTTGTGACTTCTGCAGCCATACGAGGATCCAACTCCACGGCAATGCACTTCTTTGCCTTTTCTAGAATCTTGGCTGTCAAGTTACCAGTACCGGGACCAATTTCAAGGACGATCTGTTGTATCAACTTGTTAGTTTTTGTTAGAACAATCAATGTCTTTTGTAACTTACATCGCTTTGCTTGAGCTCGGCCTTTTCCACAATTGCAGCTAGATAGCCTATTGTTAGTTACGGTAGACACAGTGCAGTGAAAACCAGTCCCTACCAGCAATACCAGGGTTCTTTAGAACGTGCTGGCCAATATCAGTGTTCATCTTGAAGATGCTGTGAGCAGCTTTTGTCTTGGCAGCAGCATCTGATAGACCCTGTGAAGCGGCGCTATTGCGCTTCTGCTTGTTAACCTTTGGCATCTTGAAGCAGTCAGCCTCTGAAATTTGACAATAATCAAAAGAATCAAAACAGAATGCCTTGGGCAACAGAGCACATGAACTTCCAATGTGGGCGGGAACTTTTTTTGCGATAAGATTGCCGGCAACGGAATTACTTTCATCCGGGCCTGCCTTCGCCTTCAGCGCCGTCGGCGTCGAGCTCTCAGAGTTGTGTCGTGCCCAACATGGCGTCTGGACGAAAGGATTTCCTAAGCCAGGCAGCGCCTGAGAACTATGTTGCTGGTCTAGGTCGTGGTGCGACAGGATTCACCACTCGCTCCGATCTTGGTCCGGCACGTGAAGGACCTACGCCCGAACAGATCCAGGCTGCTCTCACCAAGAGAGCTCAGCTTCTGGGAGCTGCTGCACCCACTGCCTACGGGGCCACTACACGTGAAAAAGGTGGAAAAGAAGAGGATAAGGAGGAGGAAGATGAGCGGTTCCAGGATCCTGACAATGAAGTCGGGCTGTTCGCATATGGACAATTCGACCAAGAAGATGACGAGGCAGACCGCATCTACCAGGAGGTAGATGAGAAAATGGACAAGCGCCGGAGAGCTCGCAGGTTAGTTATTTTCCTTCCATTTTCCCTCCGAAACCTTTGTTTATCGGGTTAGCCCCGGTTGTTTGGACAGAGTACCGACTTGAATCGTTCGCCACCTACAGGGAAGCTCGAGAGAAAGCCCAACAACAGGAATACGAACGCAATAACCCGAAGATCCAACACCAATTTGCCGATCTGAAACGCACACTCGCCTCGGTATCGGAAGAAGACTGGGCCAACCTCCCGGAGGTAGGAGATTTGACGGGCAAGAATCGACGAGAGAAACAGAATGCCCGACAACGGCACTACGCCGTACCCGATAGTGTGATTGCTAGTGCGAGAGACTCAGCTCAATACGGCACGACAATTACCGAAGATGGCACGGAAACGACTATCGACGAAGGAGAAAACGCCGACAGCACCATGATGAACTTCGCAGACATCGGAGCGGCCCGTGATAAGGTGCTGAAGGTTCGACTTGATCAAGCTGCGCTAGGATCATCCGCTGATAAGTCTGGAACTGCTACGAATATCGACCCCAAGGGTTACCTCACTAGCTTGACACAATCAGAAGCCAAAGCTGGCGAAGTTGAGGTGGGCGATATAAAGCGAGTTCGTACCCTGTTAGAATCCGTCACCAAGACCAACCCTAAGCATGCTCCCGGTTGGATTGCTCTAGCTCGTCTGGAAGAGCTTGCTGGCCGGATTGTGGCTGCCAGGACTCTCATCGCTAAAGGGTGTGAGCTCTGCCCCAAAAGCGAAGATGCATGGCTAGAAAACATTCGACTCAATGAAGGCCACAATGCAAAGGTTATTGCAGCGAATGCCATCAAGAACAATGACCGTTCCACAAGACTTTGGACTGAGGCCATGAGATTAGAAACGGACACCCGTGCCAAGAAGAATGTTCTTCGGCAAGCTATTTTGCATATTCCCCAATCAGTGCAGATCTGGAAAGAAGCTGTCAATCTAGAAGATGATCCCGCCGATGCGCGCTTGCTGTTGGCAAAGGCCGTCGAAATCATTCCACTGTCAGTCGAGTTGTGGCTTGCCCTTGCTCGTCTTGAAACCCCGGAAAATGCACAGAAAGTCTTGAACGCCGCTCGCAAGGCCGTTCCTACTAGCTACGAAATCTGGATTGCTGCAGCTCGACTCCAGGAGCAGATGGGTACATTCGCAAAGGTCAATGTCATGAAGCGTGCTATCCAGTCACTGGCCCGAGAGAACGCCATGCTCAAAAGAGAGGAATGGATCACAGAAGCCGAAAAATGCGAAGGCGAAGGCGCTGTGCTGACATGTGGTAGTATTATTCAAGAGACTTTAGGATGGGGCCTGGATGAGGATGATGACCGAAAAGATATCTGGATGGATGACGCAAAGGCTAGCATTGCCCGTGGTAATTACGAAACTGCCCGGGCAATTTATGCTTACGCTTTGCGGGTCTTTGTGAACCGCCGATCCATTTGGCTCGCGGCAGCAGACCTGGAGCGCAACCACGGCACCAAGGAAGCTCTCTGGCAGGTTCTGGAGAAAGCAGTCGATGCGTGCCCCCAAAGCGAGGAGCTCTGGCTTCTTCTTGCCAAGGAGAAATGGCAGTCTGGAGATATTGACGATGCTCGACGAGTTCTCGGCCGTGCCTTCCACCAAAACCCCAACAACGAAGATATCTGGCTGGCTGCTGTTAAACTGGAGGCTGATGCCAAAAAGACAGACCAAGCCAGAGAACTTCTGGTTACTGCCCGCCGTGAAGCTGGCACAGATCGCGTGTGGACCAAGAGTGTTGCCTTTGAGCGGCAGCTCGGCAACATCGACGACGCTTTAGATCTAGTCAACCAAGGCTTACAACTTTTCCCGAAGGCTGACAAGCTCTGGATGATCAAGGGCCAAATCTACGAATCACAGAACAAGTTCCCGCAGGCGCGCGAGGCCTACGGAACAGGCACTAGAGCCTGCCCGAAGTCCGTCGCGCTCTGGCTACTTGCCTCGCGACTGGAAGAAAAAGCGGGTGCCGTCGTCCGGGCGCGATCCGTTCTCGACAGAGCGCGTTTGGCCGTCCCTAAGAACGCAGAGCTCTGGACCGAAAGTGTGCGTGTTGAACGTCGTGCCAACAATATCGCTCAGGCCAAGGTCCTCATGGCGCGCGCGATCCAAGAAGTTCCAACATCAGGACTTCTGTGGAGTGAAAGTATCTGGTATCTCGAGCCCCGCGCTCAGCGCAAGGCACGTAGTTTGGAGGCTATCAAGAAGGTCGAGAATGACCCGATTCTGTTCATCACTGTCGCGCGTATCTTCTGGGGCGAGCGTCGCTTGGAGAAGGCCATGACGTGGTTTGAGAAGGCAATTGTCTTGGATAGTGATTATGGTGATGGCTGGGCTTGGTATTACAAATTCCTTTTGCAACATGGCACTGAGGTTAGTTACTCCCCTTTTCATTCGTTCTGTGGATTCCATGTCATCAATGGAATAACTAGCTGACATCTATGTTGCAGGAAAAACGATCAGATGTCGTGTCGAAGTGCATCTCAATGGAACCCAAGCACGGTGAAATCTGGCAGTCTATCGTGAAGGACCCGGCCAATGCCTACAAAACCACCGAGGAGATTTTGAAGCTCGTCGCAAATACCATCAGCTAGCTGGCATGTTCTTTGTGGGTGTATTTTCTCTAGGCGTTTCGGGGGCAAACCGCCCATGGAATTCAATCTTTGACAGGGATCTATCTCTGTTGGACTCATGTCAAAGAGTTAAGCCCAGTGATCTAATATGTAACTATGTAATAACTCCTCAAGATAACCAAGTTGTAAAGTAGAATTCATGGGTATCGAACAAGCCTGACCTCCTCTTCCCAAAAGGGATCATAGCCATTCAGCTTTTTTAGTCTCTTTAGTTTTCTCTGAGTTTCCCTTCATCCTCCAGACCTCGACCGCCTTGCCTTACCCCTTAAAGGAGTGATATTGTACATGACCAAATATGAAGGAGGTGAAACATAGGGGACAAGACAAGAGGCGATCGAGAACGGGTAAGACAATATCTTCAAACTCCAAATCCATATGCAAATAATGTGGCGTCACAAGTGGTGACAGCCTCCCTTGGTAGTACCCAGACGCCGTGAGCCACCATCCAAAACCGTAGAACAAAAAACGAGCAAAAAAAGCATGTAATGTGGCATGTAGGAAACGGAAAAAAAGAGACAGCGGGGGTATAAGATTCTCATGTGGCCATGGAAAGACACTCGTCGAGCAAAGAGCTCAACTGATCTCGATCGCCAAGTGTGCCGCCTTCCCAGTCTAATAGAGAACCGTCTTCGTCTTCATCTTCGTCCAAGTCCATCTCGTCTTCGGGTTTGATTTCTTGATGCGGCTCACCAACGCCATTTTCCATTCGATCGTGTCTTTCAGTCTCGAGTTCGTCTTCGAAGTACCCGTTCATGATTTGGTCTACGATGAGTGGCATGTGGCCGAGAACACCGCCGCCTAGCTCCAAAGTTAATCGTAGGTCTCTAACGCCCAATGGTTTTCGAATGTTGGCCTCTCTTGCTTCAACTGGAAGGAGGCCTGTGGCGGCGTCCTTAGCAATTTCTCCACGTGTGTATGCAAGCTCTTCGACTTCCAGTTGGTGCCGGTACTGACGCATCATCATGTTGTTGATTGTACCGGAGGGGCCATTCGAACGGGTGCGCGAGAACACAGCGGACAAAACTTCCTTTACGAAAGTTTCAGTCGCAATTGCCATGAATTCAGCGCAGGGGAGCCCAGCACCGCTAGGTAGAGATTCTTCGTAACATATGGGGACCATGCGGGCATGTATGGATTCAGCATCGGGGAATTCGCCTGTTTCTGCGGCGAGGGGCTGGGCATAGCGTTTTCGGATTTCCAGTTCCCAGTCTGTAATGGAGGAGGATGGTTAGGTTTAATTTCCTGATAAGGGACCACGGGAACGGAGAGGATATCTCGAGTTCGACGCGAAGGGCATCGCCTTACTAGTTTTGTTCAGCCCGCCTGCACTTGCGGGAACCTGACTGGGTAATTTGAATTGTTTAGCTAGATGGCTTTCTTCGAGCTCTGTGGGGACCGTTTCATTTGGATCTCGCTGGTGATCATTAGCTGTCGGGTTCTACGGCGAAGGTAATTGCCATTGTTCGCGACTACATACCTCTGGGATCCCCTTTATGCGCCGACGGTCCCTCGGAGGTAGTTTCATGACTTCCGTCTTCAATCTTTGCTCCGCGGCATCTCCGGAGACGGGTTTTGATACCGTTGATGGTTTATCATTGGCCGATACCCAGTTTGCGACGCCATGATCGGGGAGGTCTCGTGTGAGGTTTCCGATGAGCGCGCAAACAAAATTATTATGTAGATGTTCGTTTTTTGGATCGGCGCACAAGAAGTAGTCGACGTGTGATGAGTATTCGCTTTGGTTGTAATGTCCTATGAGGAAGCAAGAGGTCAGGAGGTCATCGATCTGAGGCAGAAGGGAGGGGGGAAACAGGCCCCGCGGAGTTCTAGCAATCACTTCCCAATCAGCAGTTGCACGCGTATCAAGACTTACCCAGTAAGAAAAGAGCCGTGGACTCTTTGTATTCGGCCCACTTGTCTCCTATGGCGGCCTTCAGATCCGTGTAGGCATGCTCCAACTCCAACCGAGGCACCGATATCAGAGCTCTGGAGGTCTTCGCGGATACTGAGCCGTTGGGCACGGCGCCCTTTGGATTTGAGATAGAGTCATTCCGACTCAGAGCCGCCGGATCAATCTGCATGGTTGCCGAACTCGCGAGAGCGCGACGGTCGACGCCGAAGGGCAGGGAATACTGGCACCTACGCCTTCATCAAGGAGGATTCTCGGGTTCAAACTAGAATTAGAGGAACATTAAATGCTTTCAAAAGAGCACCTGCGGAATTGAAGATGAAAATTGATGGAGTGGAAGATATGGCGATGGGTTTGGGTGGAAGGGGAGGTTCCGACTTGCTGTTCCCCGCCAGACGCCAGAAACGGATACATCGATATGCGCCAAACTTAGCAGCGTTGCCCTGAAAGTGTTTACACATACTTCTTTACACTGTAATTTTAGATGCTATTCAGACTGATTAGCTAGATTTTCAAGCTAGCTGTACCACATCTTCACTTAATACACCAAAGAGTTTTCCGATCTCCGCAATGATCTCTGTGATCTCATTCGATAATTGTCCCGTCACCAAAACTAGAAGTGCAAGAGTCATTATGCTGTACTAGATTTGACTAGAAACCAAGTAAAAACTCACTATAGGCATAAAGCAAAGCACAGTCCTCATCTGTGGTCTGTTGAGATGCTTCGCGATCCAGGCGATAACGATAGATGCGAGCAAGCAACCGGTCTCTGGCATGCTCAACGCTAGGAAGCACATCATTCAAAGGGTACTCGAGTTTCATTGATGAAGCAATCACTGGATGACAGTCAGCAGTGCATCAAGTGCACGGTAGTTGCAAGAGGACTGACCTGAAAGTAGATGGCTTACGCGAGCAGAGAGCTGTCGCCGTTCTAGTTTTGTGTATTGAAGAAGGCTGATTTCACCTTCAGTTGCCACATCATTGTTCATTAGCTCGATGTTTATAGTGTGGAAAGAGTTCACCATGCTGCGTGTACGGTGAACAATGTTGGCATAAGAGGCTGCAGGGAATGCACTTTTCAATTCAAATTCGGAGCCTGCCGCAGCCTGAAGAGACTCCAACCGAGATAAAAATCTTTCAATCTCAAGCTTCTCCCGGGGCGTCATGTATAAAACAGACTTTTGGCCTTTAGCCATGATAGATAGGGGATCGCGTTTCCAGACAAGACTGAGATGCAGCCAGAGAAGACTCAGGCTCTCCTTGAGCCTACGTCTTGCGCTGATGGGCCAAATCACTCGAGTGATGATAATCCCCCAAATGCATCCGGACAACACAGCAACAACTCGGTGAAGTGCAATTTCGGTCATTATAGGATTAGAACCGCCTTCATCTTCGTCGAGGTTTGCCGCCTTCTGAGAGAGGGAATAGGCATACAGCACGGAGAGGTTGTAAGTAAGCATGATGAACCGGCCCATGGGTCCGTTTCCACGAACGATAGTGATATATCCAGTCCAGACGGCCATTATCCATCCCAAGAATGCAAGAGCAAACACATTTCCGGCGGTGATGTTCCATGCTAGAATAGCAGCGACTGCCCCCAAGCAAGTACCCAGAAAACGGGCATACCCCGTCGTATTTGAGGCTCCAATTGTCATTGAGCAGACCAGCATGTATGACAACAGACCCCATTCTCCTCGCCAGCGCCCATAGAACGGGCGAGTAGAAGGAAGGAATGCAGGCAGCGCGTAGATGGCAGCTCCTGCCCCAACCTTGATCGCGTATTTTGTATCATCTCGTCGGAAGAACCCCAGACATTTCCATAGCCGGTAACCGAGTCTTTGCGTTGTGGTGTCATTTTCTGAGGGGGCTGTATGTGTTTGAACATTGACTGGCAGTCTATCATGTGCAATCAAGCCATCTGATGCATGCCTAGCATGCCCAGGGGGGTCCTGCTCATTAGCGGCTGGATGGAAAGGTCTAAAAGCTGCTTTGTAGGTAATTAACATGATGTCCACGCTCCAACAGCTGGTATGTGGTGGTATACATACCAGCATCAAATGGGTCCATTTTAGCGTTCTCTGTATTTCTCGACCACCGCCAGAATTTGAGCCATGACCAGGTTCGCCCATGAGGCCGTTCTTCGACTTCCAACTGCAGCTCATCTAAGATGGAAAGCATCTCTCGGAGCTGCTCTCCAAATTCAAGGAGGGAAAAGCTGAAATGGCCACAGCTGGCTGTGATTTCCTCAAGATCGGCTTCAGCTTCGCGAGTCTTCAATTTCCTGGTCTCCTCTTGCTGATACAAGGCTGCGAGTGTCTTCTCGCGCGATTCTTTGTAAAGATCAAGCGCCCGGTCAAGACTGATTCGCAGTTGACCATTCACTGAGACTTTGTAGTTCGGCGCAGGCCCAAATGGAATCTCCTTGAAAATTTCTTTCAATGTAAAGGCCAAAGATCGCTGCTTCTGGTCAGTCTTGAATTGTATCAAATGCTTCTCGAGTTCAAATTTACCATTGCAGGACCTAGGTGAGAGATGAAAACAGTGAAGACATCTGCTGGAAGAAGTGCGGGTCTAGGTGTTGATTCAGCACTCCCAGGTTTGATGGAACCGCCTGGAGATAGCTCCTCCTCCGGTCGCTCAACAATAGGCTCCAGAAAGGACCCATCGGGAAATGACCAGGATCGCTCAAGGGGCGTGAAATAGTCCACATGAGTCGCGACATCCGGCTGATCTTCCGGAGAGGCAGACTCACAGGTAGTCTCACGAATCAAACTGAACTGGAGAGAAGCAGCATTACGCAGCCCTCCCATGTTATGGGTAATATCTTGCACCCAGCGAACGAGGTTCTTTTCGAGCCTGTACTCTCTCTCGGTCCCTGCTACATAATGCTCAAGTTTAGCTTCTCGAACGAGCCTGTCGAGCTGGCTATAAGCCTTGCGGTGCTTCGCCTCTGCCTCAACGAATTCAGTCGAGACAAGGACCTCCTCTGTCCCACTCAAGAAGCTTTCCGTGATGAGTGCCATCCTGAGAGCCAATGTATCAGTGACCATTACTAGGTTCGAGCGCAGCTTTTTACGCGCTGATATGGGGAAGACGAAAAAGGATACAGCCATGACGGCCACCACGCCCATCAGAACCATCTTCAAGACTTGGAAGATCTTGGAAAGAGACAAGTCGCCGCTTTGCACAGAACCCTCCTTAGTCAAAAGGGTAATTGTTGACAGAGCGGTAAGTGAACAGGCAACGTTCACCAAAGGATCTCCCAATCGTTGCTTGGTCCAACCAACAAAACCAAGCCCACCGCCACAAAATACAATCAGAACTACGGCATGTCCAAGGGCAGGCAACTCCAATGTATCTTGGAAAAACATCTCCACGAACATGCTGGTAATTGTCAAGAAAGTAGAATAGCAGAACGCTAGGAACGCACAGATCGAAGCCTTGAACATCGCACCCTGAGATCTGGCAGGGTGGAAGTAGACCGTGACCGTAGCCACCATGTGTTTCCCATCCTGATGGCCCAGCATGGCCGAGATTGCGGGGATAAAGGTTGCAAGAGATCCGACTAAATAAGCAAGACTGTATTTCAAGACCCCAATGCCCGGTTCTGATCTCAAGAAGTTTTTTGTCTGCGTCCAGTTATCACGTAAACGGCGCGTGAGCGCGTCGAGGTACCCCTCATAATGTTGGATCTCATTTGTGAGGAGCCCGCGCCTTTCCTCGTTATTGTCCGAGATTGTGGTGGGGTTTCTGAGGTTAACGACTCCTTTCAGGCGTTGGCCTGTTTTCGGGAGAACAAATGTAGCCTGACGCAGCTTCACCGACGATTAGTATCTCTCAAGCCAGAAAAATACGAGTACACACCATTGGGCGCGAGCGGCGGGAGCTGCTTGGAGTTCCAGACGGCATCTTTCAGGTTTCACCTACTTCGCGTGGACTCAAGGCGTTGTACAAACCCCATGGCACATCTTCGTTGACTCGCCCTTTCTCCAGTAATTATGAAGACGTCAGAGGGTCGTGCGAAGGTGCATGGAGCGATGCATCAACTGGCGAGGATTGGAAGGTAAATACGGCCACCTCCCATTTGTCATTGCCACGCACCTTTTTGTTTTGTTTTGTTTTGCTTTATCTACCCAGTCAAGTTGTGTAAAGCTCAGAGCATATTAATGTTCATCGTTTAAATTTGTATCTTGTTTCCTTCTGATCTCAAATTTATCGGGCTAACAATTAAAATGTAAGAGTTCGATCGTTGTAATTTGATAGCCAAATACGGAGTACAGCCACAGCTACTCCACAATTAATTCAAGCCTTCCACTTTCCACACCTTCACCGCTGCATCTGCACCAGCTGAAATGATCTTGGAGCCCCCTGCAACCCAACCAACACCATGGACACCCTCCTTGTGAGCATTCTGCAGCTCAAGCCAGTCGCCTGGCTTAGCCAAGCTCCAGACAAAGATGTTGGTATCCAGAGATCCACTCACAACGTGTGAGCCGGCTTCGTTCCAGGCCAGAGACGTGATTCGTGCAGTATGCGCCGTCCAGCGGTCCGTCACTAGACTACCATCTGCAACCTTGAAAACCAGGACACGTCCTCGCAAATCACCTATGGCCAAGTGGGAGGCGTCTGGAGAAAAGGCAAGAGCAGAGATTGGGTTGCGAGAGGCATTGATGTCCGCCCGAGGAGAAAGTCGAGAGCTGGAGATGGCACAGATCTGAACAGAACCATTCTCACCTCCAATGGCTGCCTGGGAACCGTGAGCGGCTACGGTTGTAGCTGCAAAGTCGGTCTTGTATTCTCCGGTCTTCTTGCCATCCTGGAAAATCTCGACGGTTTCAGCTTCGCCAACAAGCACGGTTGAGTCGCCAGCGGCAACGCCCTTTGGTTGTCCATTGAGTTTTGAAGCGCTGCCGGTGTATGTTTTAGCAGCCTCATCGACAGAACGGAGTGTGTCGTCCCAGCCGACACTGTAAATTCTACCACTTCCCTCTGATGTGGTTGCAAGCCCGGCGACATAGCCGGGGTGGGCATCTCCTTCAATCTCCTCAGCCTTGCCTGAAGCTACATCCCAGTGGCAGACTCTTCCCTCAAAGCTGCCTGTCCACAAAGTTTGCTTGTCATCCACAGTGGTCTGTGTCAAGGAGGTGATACTCTTCTGGTGGCCTGACACCACCTGGCGGGGCTCTGGGGTTCCCTCAACCAAGTAGTTCAAGTCTCCACTGAGAGACAAACTGATGAGCAGGTTATCGTTTCTGCCTGGGGGCCAGACCACGCCAACTTGGTGGTCACGAACAGCCAGAGCACCCTCTTCTCCCAGGGTCCAGGTCTGTGTTGCTTTGCCAGCTTCCACATCCCAGATCTTGACGGTCCGGTCCGCACTTGCAGTGACGAACTTTCGCGAGTCCTTGTCCCAGGAGACACCAAAGATACTGCCCTTGTGTTCTCCTTCGCCAATTTGACCCTTGGTCTCGCCTGTCTTCCCGTCGTAGAGCCAAATCTTCCGGTCTGCGCCAACACTGACCAAGTGCGATCCATCCGGGCTGAAGCCGACTCCGTAGATATAGTTTGAGTGCTTGTCAGCAATTCCATTGTTGAATTTGAATGGCGCTCCGTGGTAGAAGACTGTCTTCCTGTCATCACCAGCAGTGGCGGCACGCAGGGGCCGTTGCTGCCTAATTGACACGGTGTTGAGCTGTTGCGTATGACCGTGGATCTCCCCAACGGTGTTTCCACTATCCCAGGTGATACAGTGTCCATATCGCTGCTTGCCATCGCCGACAGCAATAATGCGCTGGGAGTCACCGTCCCAGGCCAAATCGTTGATTCGACCATTGACAATGCAGTATTCACCCTTGGTAATTCCTTCGCCGACACAATCCCATACTCTCACGATTCCAGCAGTGTCACCACTTGCAACGTAGAAACCGGATGGGGCGAAGCGTGCGACAGTTGTCTGCGCCTTGTGTTCGGTGTACTGCCTAGCGACTGCGGGATCGTCGATTGAACGGAGGAAGATGGACTTGTTGGACTGTGATTGCTTGTATCAGAACGAGGTTATGCTCTTGTAGAGATTCTTTGAAAATCACACACCGCATAGGCCAATCGTTCGCCTTTAGAATCGGAAGAGAGCTGAGTGGGCTGGCCGCGGGTGGTGGAGGGGCTAGCAGCCCAAATGGACTCTTTGTATTTGTCAGGATATTAGAGATAACATTCGGCTGTAAGGTTCTCACCATTCGTAAGCGACATTGCTAAGATATGCACACTCAAGCAGTGGAGTTGGGAAAAAGCAGAGGGAAGCCCGCCGGTCCGTTGTTTACCGACTGACGTACCCTGGCCACAATAGCGGGGAACACAGCCACGCCCTGTCTACATTAAACAAGCGTTGAGCATCTGCAGGAAGGGGGGTATCAGTATCAACGCATATAAAATGTAACTGGTACCTCCAGCAATTCTAGCAGAAAGGAATTTGAACATCATAGCTCTCAAAAAAAAATCAATGCATAGCGCTAAGAGTAATAATACACTAAGTCGTGCCCTTTCCACCAGGCACCGGCCTGTACTCAGACATGGAAATTTCCCCAAATTTGTTCAAGATCCCAAAACAATGACTCCGAAGTAGTATGTTCGGCCTAGAACCCTCCAGGGCCCTCCATACGTGCTCGCATCTCGGACGCAAGAATTTCGGGGTGTCTGTGGACACTAGGCATAAGACCCATGCCGATTGCTCTCCGGAGTGCCTTGGCAATTTTGCGCTGGTTAACAGGTCGGAGACCGGTGACGGCTCGAGGTTTGATGCGGCCCATGCTGGTCATATATTCGGACATGACGGAAAAGCTCTGTAATGAGAAAGGTGTCAGCAATCAGTGGCTGTTCATCATAATTGTTCATTAATATCAAAAATCCATTGGCTTGAAGACTATGTACCTTGTACAAATCCATAGGATTCAGGTTCAATGCGTCAAAGGCATCTGTTTGAGGGCTCTGGCGCTTTCCCCATTTCTTCATCTCGGCCGGGCTAAGATCATGAGGGGAGTAAATGTCTCCAGCCTTGAAGTCACGGGTTTGGTATCTCTCAAGGGCTCGGCTCTCGCCTTGCGCCTTCTGGTCCTCGAGGAACTTCAGGCGACTAGGTAAGCGGCGTCGTTGGACCACTTGGGAGGCTATCGCAACACGTTAGTTGACAAGCACAAGCAAATCAATGTGTTCCCATATTACACAATGGAGGAATAAACAGATGATTTCAGTGTACCGGGTCCATCACATACTTTGTGAGCTTGTGCCGCGCTGGGAAGTGAAAGCGCTCATGGCAGCGGTCGAGCTCCAGCGACAGAGTGAGAGGCCAACATTGGCTGTGGTCGCAGCATTGCGCAGCAATGACGATGTGGAGATGAGGTTCAAAGACATCTTGACCTTTCAATCCTTGATTAGCTGTAGACGATGAAGACGGTGATCGGAAGACCGGGCAACGCGGAGATGAGATCTTTTTTCGCCAAGACTTTTTCCGCCTCTAGCTCTCTCCGCGTCGCGAACCCCCATTTTTCACGATTCCATGCAGATTGCGAGTCAACCTAGAATCACACGATTTCATCCAATTTTTCGCGTTCAATCTGAGCTATTAGCTCAGCCCACGTCATCTATTATGCAGTCACATCTCACGAGACGGGTCTTTCGAGCAATTATCAACAATGAACCACTTCGGTTCTCCCAGTGCTATCGAAACCGCCTATTGCACACAATTGCTCCTCCCCGTGTACGACCTGTTATGTACAGCCTCCCTTATACATCACGACGCAATCTCTTTGTATTCAGCTCAGACCCTGCGCGGTCAAAATCTACTTTGCCCTCTGAAAAAGGCTTGAAACCAATGGCTGATTTGATGAGGGCACTCAAAGATAGAAGCAGAACTCCTCCGAGTGACATTCTCGCAAAGGCATTTCAAACCTTTTTCACAATGCGGCTTGAAACACCAATGCTTATCAGTCATTTCCAAGCCCGCGTGCTCATCGTCACATTTAAACACCTGAGGGCCCAGCAGAACGAGATGGAGGAAGAAGACTGGCAGAATGTATTCTCAGTCGAGAACCTCGAAAAAGTGTTGTATGTGCTCTCCGAGTCTGAGTGCGCCCCAGAGGCCCGTGAGGTTGTCATGAATCTTGCACGATACGCATATCAGGAGCTAAACCTTGATCATGGATTTGGTCCGGGGAAGATCAGCCGGCCTGCCCTTAGTCTCTACATCGATATCTTGGCTATGAATGGCAATCCTGAGGATGCAAGACACACCTTGTTGAAGTTTTGGGGTCAAATGAGCAAGGTTGTCCCATCACCCTGGCTCACAATTATGAAAGGATTTGCCATGAAGGACGATCTGCGACAAGTGCGAAAGATTGTTGATGAGTGGGGAAACCACGGCAACAAGTTTGACCAAGCCTCGCATGGAGAGCTGGTTAGATTTCTTGTCGATCACGGTCAGTGGAAAGCGGCTCAAACTGCCTACGACTATCCAATCGCCGGTGACTCCAAACCTTCTATGGCTGCGAGAGAGGCTCTCATTAAATTGTATCTCCTAAATTCGCGGTCAGAGTTGGCGGAGGAGATCTTCAAGTCTCTCCCTAATGAGCCCAACGAAGACACCACTGGCATCATTTTGCTCATGGAAGCAGCAAAGGGGAGCAATGCTTCTGCTCTTGCGCAAAAGGTCCACGAATGGACGGTGAAGAATTCTCGGCTCAAGGGCTCAATCAACATTGACATTGTTAATAGCCTTCTTCAGTATGCAAACGCGACTCAGAACCCGCAGTTGGCTTCTGATTACATGGCGCTGGCAGGCCAGTGGGGTCTCACCCCAGACAGCCAAACTCATATTC